GAATAAGACAAAGTGAATTGTTTTTGTGACCATGAAATATCAGGTCCCCAAAGATCCTTTGGAAGAGGAAAACACAACTACAGTACACAAAAGGCTCAGCTACTTTCCAGGAATGGCAATGAAAATATTTTCCTCTTTCTACTTGTTTTTCTGGTTTTCTCAAGTCATAGAAAGACTAACAAGAGCAAACACATTGCTTCATATGGAAAATATTATTCTACATTAGTTGCATAATGATAATATGATCTTGGTTTCATGTTCACTGTGTTTATGTTTAGATTCACATACAGCAAGGGGAAACATGCAGAGGGGCCAGGCAGCTTTTCTCACGTGAAACGAAGTGTTCTAATGTTTAATGGCTTGAAACTTTATTTGAAAATTCTCACATATCTTCTGGTCTAGGTCAGTTTGTCTTCGACTTGTATTTAGATAGTAGACATATATGAGTGGATCCATGTGCTGAACCTGTAAATGGGTTCGGTGGATGGCAGTCTGCTGAGAACATAGCATGAAGGATAGCCCTGGATTGCACATTCAGTGCATCTTCCATTCCGTTAGATTGTGCCAAATTGTTTGTATGGAGGTTGTATAATAAAGTATATAAAGTGTGTTTGCTTTTGACTTCTTCACATTTCGTTTTCTTGGTTTTGAAATTCCATCATGCCTCTTGATTGGCAGTTGAAAAGAAATTGTCTCACTGATGTCTTAGTTTATTTTGCCTGATGACTACTAAGAATACAAGCTTTTTCAAATGTTTATTAGATAGACACATCTTTCTCTTTGTACTGTCACCATATTGTCTACCAATTTCTTTTTGGAGATGTCTTTAAAATGTAAACATTTTTTTATAAGTTCCAGTTCCTAACCCTTTTTCCCCCTATTATAAAGACAGAGTCTCACTATGAAGCAGAAATTTCTTGATAGATCATGGGGTTACTTTTTAAAAGTGTCTATGTGTCAATTTTTTGGTTATTAAATTTGAAGTAAAAGTATCCAAGTTTAAAAATATAGGATAATTAAAAGTTCAATTATTGAAAAATAAGTGAAAATGCTAGAATAGAAACAGATAAATTAGAAATCACCACTTTTTGCTGACAGGACTGAACAGACAAACAAAGATGACAAAAGAAAGGATTGGTGAAGTATCCAGTATGGCAAACAGAAGGAAAACAAACTGAAAATTAAATGATGAAGGAAATTCAGGAACTTGTGCAAAATATCATAGTTGTAGCAAGTGAAACCTCCAAAGCAGAAGGAGGGGACTGAGACAACGGTATAGTAAATGACATTTCCTGGTTAAAAATTAAAGGATGGACAGTCTTAAACATGAAAACACACAGAATAACAGAATCAAGAAGGCCATCAAACCCACTGAGAATATGTACAAATAAAACTACGCCAGCTATATCATAATGAATCTGATTAAAGCAAGATGAAGAGGAAACTGTTATGTCAACAAGAAGGAGCAGACAACTTTGCCCACAGAGCAGGAATGATGGCATACTTGTCACCAATAACAATGAAAAACAGAGACAAATGTAAATTTCTAATATGCTAAAACAAATTGTTCGTTCATATTCTCTATCCAGCAATAGCACATCCTCTAAAGATGAAGATGAAATAAAAAACATGCAAAGGTAAAAGAATAATAAGAAAGTTCACCAATGAAAGCACTTGTATCAAAAAATGATGAAATACTTCCTTAGGTGAAGCGTAAAGATGCTGGGGAAATCTAGGAATGAGGAAAGAGCTTTAAAATGGGAACATGGGGGAAATGTAAGCATATAAACCCCTTAAGTACGATTGGTGACTTTATTGTGAGCATATCACAATGAAAGTGACATGAACTGTACATGTACATAGATATTCATATCTGACAACTAAGGTATAACATACTATCACTTACTTACACACAAAGAATTTGTGTCTAAACCAAGGCCTATTAGCTAGTGCTACCGAGCTGCTAAATAAAACAATAGTACCATCTGGCTGGGGTCTATGCCCTGTATCCTGGCCCCAACCAGAGGTGATGGCAGTGTTTATGGAAATTGAGCAGCTGTCTAGCCAGAAAAAAGGGAAGGACCATAGTACCACAGTAATAAATCAAGCTGAGCCTGCCTAGGTACAGGTCTACAATAATGAGCTAAATAGGGAAACCAGAAAAATAAGTAAAACCAAAAAACATAAAAACAAGACACCTTTAAAAGTAAGTAACAAAGCTTTAACAATAGACCCGCCCCCCATAAAATATCTAAGAAACAACAGAAGTATTTAGAATAGTTTCCTTAAAGTCGAATGAACTACAAGAATATACAAACAGTATACAAAGAAAATAAAATTTCTGACACAAAACTAAAAATAATATTTTTTTAAGAAAACTCAAGAGATGAAGATTGCCATAGGCTGCTCCAAATAAAAAGTCCTCACTGAATAATCAGTGTCTGAGGCAATGGTTTCAATTAAGAACAAAAGGAAAAGAGAAAAAGAATGAAGAAATCCCACAGGAGTTAAAGGATACCATGAAGAGCCTTAACCAGTGTATGGTAAAAATTCAAGAGCAAATAAATTTAACAGGACAAGAAAGCATATTTACTGAAATAATGGAGGATCTGGGCAAAGAAGTCAATATCCAGGTATATGAGGATCAGAGACTTCCAGCCAAATCTAAACCAAAGAGGAGCTTACTAATACAAAGGATATCAGACTAAAAGCAAAGCCATAGGAAGAAAGCTTAGAGCAGCAAAAGGTTAGAACATACAACAGGAGTAGTGAGATGGCACAGCAGGTAAAGGTACTTGATACCACGCACGATAACCTGAGTTTCATGCCCAGAACTCAAAATCCTGTAGATTGTGCTCTTGACCTCCACACAAAAGCACTGGCACATGCACACACGTTAAGTATACAGATGTAAAACAAACAAGAACCCTGAAACAAACAAAGGTCTCACTGTGACTCTCAGTAGAGCCTTCAGTACAAACCTTGTTGGTCTGGAAAGAGCAATAAAAAATTTCAAATAGTTGAAGAAAAAAAAAAAAAAAAAAAACAACAGTGTTATCCAACTATCCTTTACCCCCAAAAGCCATCCTTTAGAAATGGAGGAGAACTACATGTGTGAATCCTAGCACTCACTTGCTCACTCGGGAAGCAGAGGTAGGAGGATATCTGGTGGATCAAGGTCAACCAGGACTACAGAGTGTCACCTCGTCTCGGACAGCACCAGTAACAGCCAATCCAACTAAACAGCAACCAAGCAACCCAACTACAACACTGAAAAACCCAAGCTGGAGAGGGAGAGGATCACTCGACCCAGGCCCTACAGGAATTATCAAAAGCGATTCTTTAAGATGAAAGAAAAGACACTAACTAAGAGCACAAGCACACACAAGCATGGAACTTGTTTTAATCAGAACACTGGGAATCTGCAATGAGAATGCAAATTATTAATAGTATGAAAGTTACCGCTCGAAACTACCAATGATTATTGTCAGCACTAATTGTCCAGGGATATATAATACCAAGTAATATCTGCATCTGGTACAGATACATGCAAGCCATAAAAAAAAAAAAAAAAAAAAAAACACTCAGGCAGCTAAACAAACAAACAAACAAACAAATAAACAAAAAACCCACTAAAATATCCAGTTGAGAGATGGACCAAAGATCATAATAAGCAGTTTGTAAGACACAGAATTATCCAATGGGCATATATTCAGCATCACTAATCATTAGCGTAATATAAGCTGAACCCCTAATGTGACTGCATCTTCCAGAACAGTAACATGTAAAAAGAAGAAAGTCAGTGAATATCAAACCTGTCTGTGGGGGCATGAATTGGGATTGCCTTGATGGTAAACTGCATGGATCTTCCTCAGAATCAAAGTGTAAAGCTATCACATGATCTACGAATCTTGTTTCTACAGTCTGACTCAAGAGAGTTAACACCAGTGTGTTTAGGGGACATCTCCCAGCTGTCCCGTGGTCGCTGCACCACTGACTAGAATACCCAAGTTAACTGCTTCATGCTATGTCGAACAGATCAATGCATAAAACTGCAAGGCACAAATCAATATAAAAATATCGATTTAATAAAAATATTAAAAAGAAAGAAAACGGTTTTTGATACAACATAGATGGAAAGCATTATGCTAATTGAAATAAACCATGATTTTTAAAAAAAAAAAAAACAAATACTAAATGTTTGTACTTATATGTGGAAGCTTAAATGTTTAAACTTAAAAAAAAACAGAATGTAAGTATCAGTGTCCAGAAGTGGGGCTGGGAGCAATGAGAAGAGAATAAATTGAAGGATACAATTCCTCAATTAATATGGAGAATTGGAGGTTTTCTGAGAGATGTATTTCAAAGTGTGGTAAATACACTTAGCTTGCAAAATTGCTAAGAGATTAAATTTCCCATGTTCTTACGACAAAAGCTAAGGATTTGGCTTAAATGGGTACATTAATTAGAGTTTTCCACACTCATAAATCATGACATCACTTTTCATAATATATATATATATATCTTAACAGTTTCTAATAGAAGATAAAAAAATATAAAGCTGGGCGGATCATTTTTTTTAAAAAACAAGGATAGGCTCAAAGTCTGCATGTATACATTTGTCCTGCATCAAATTTTAACATATTGTAAAATTAGTTCACTTTGAAATGCTGAAAAGTAACAAAGTATTTGAAATCTGTAAATCGTGCAGAGCAATGCTTGGCTCAAGTCAGTGCTCACACAAGCACCGCTATTATTTCAGAGGAGGAAACATGAGTAACTTTATAAGCAACATCTTTCCAGTCAGCCTTGAAAACCTTGAGACCACAATGTGCCCAACATATTCCTAGAAAGCATTATGAAAATATCAAACCCCATCAACTAAGTTCACTGCATGTAGATTGAGTTTCCTCAGAGGACATTAAAACAGCCAGCTCACATGTGAACACACACACACGTTCTGAGCAGATCACACGGAGATAACTAATTCCCCTACTCACGTTCTCATAGAGGGCTTGAAGGGTCTCCAGGTCAACCACAGAGTTGTCCAAGTTCACAACAGCTGTGGGGGGGAGGGGGAAGGCAAAGAAAAATTTGTAAATTACCATGATGTGAAATGATGTTTAGCCACATCAGCAAAAATATTCATGAGCAACAGTTGGAAGGCATATGCACTTTAACTTCAGTGTGTACACTTGCTCTACTCCAAAGACCATGTCTCAGAAACTGTAATGGCTCATGAGCCAAACTTTAAAATGTTTCACTTGCTCTCCACACTGACTAGGTTTAAGTCAACTTGACACAAGCTAGATTTGTCTGGACAGAGGATTCTCAACTGAGGAAAGACATCGTAAGATCAGGCTGTGGCTAGCCTGTAGGACATTTTCTTAATTAGTGATTGGTGGGAGAAGGTCCAGCCTATTGTGGGTGGGGCTATCGTCTCGGTTGGTAGTCCTGGGTTTTATAAGAAAGCAGGCTGAGCAGGCCATGGGGAGCAAGCCTGTAAGTAGCACCCTTCCATGGCCCCTTCATCAGCTCCCACCTCCAGATTCCAGACTTGGTTGACATTCTGTCCTGACTTCCTTCAGTGGTGGACTACAGTGTATAAGAGTAGGCCAAATAAACCCTCTCCTCCTCAACTTACTTTTGGTCGTGGTATGTTATCATAGCAATATGAAGCCTAACTAGGACACTACGAATACTATGTCCTATGAGTATGGCTCAAATGTTAGAGAAAAGGTGTAAATGAGTCATTAATTAACCAACTAAATACACTTGGTAAATTTTTGCATACTACTAGAAAGGTAGGTAGATAGTCCATTAAACCACTGTGACCTAACTTCATGCCAGTAACTGTTGATGCATGCCCACTTACCCAAAACATCTGGTGAATACTTCTTTAGTGTTAATATTAAGATGATTACAGATAGAATAGGTCATCAAAGCCAAAGAATGTGTTTTTTTATTTTTTTTGGGGGGGGTGAGGGTGGCAGTTTGTGGAATGTTATGTTTTACTTTGAGTCAGGTGGATTCATTAAAAGTACATTAAAACCAATCTGTTTCCCATGGACATATTAGACTGAAACAGGGTGAAATTGTCGTGAGGGATTTGTGCCAAGGAGCCACTGAAGAAGCTCTCATGGGATTAAAGATTTGCAGGAGAAAAATCACAGTGTGGATAATCACAATTTTGATGTATTTATTTTGATAACTGAGGCAATTTACTATGTCTCTCCCCTCAAAGCTTAAAGTACACATTTACTAGTTGATACTGGCAAAAGTCCCAAGAAAGAATTAAGAAACAAAAGTGGAAATTGAAGCACAGGATGGATGAAAAATTCAACCAAGTTAATTTAACATTTCTGGGAACAAAGCCCAAATTCACCAACAAATGTTGTACTAAGTAGAATATGATATTTCCACTCTAATAATAACCCCTGTCTACATTTAAAAATTACTGTTCCTATATAAATCTAAGAGACAGATTTTCAGGCAAATCTCCTTATTATTAGATTACACCAAACAACACAAATTACTAAAATTAAGATATTAATTCATATTATTTGTTGAAGTAATATATAAAAAATACATGGAGGTTAGATTAAAATAGAAAGTAAAAATAACTAATTCATATATGGAATTTTCTTCTTTAGTTTCAGAGTTTAGTTTAAGAAAAATCTAAGTGAATCCAACCTAAGTGATTGGTAATTCATTAGTTACTAATCACCATAGAATTTTTTATGTTTCTTTGGTGACACAGTAAGAAATTTGTAGGAAACTGTAACACATGCTAATAATGAATTTTATGTAAGATTTCACTCTAAGAACATAATAACATTGTTAATATTCAAGTAAAATTCATGGGCACATTTGTCTTTTGAATATATACATAATTTTCTATAATTGTTCACTTAAAAATCATGAAGACTGATAAATGTTTTGCTAAATTATCCATAACAAGGAGAAATGATCCAAATCAACAAAATTAAAGATGAAAGAGGAGACAATACAACAGACACTGAGGAAATTCAGAGACTCAAAGCTACGCTTTAAAATTCTATATCCCACCAACCTGGAAAACCTAAAAGAAATGAAAGAATGTTTAGATATATATGGCCTACCAAATTTAAATAATAATAATTTAAATCAACATAACATCTAGTCATATAAAAGCAGTATTTCTCCAAATTCTATTTGCAATAATAACACGCCAATTCCACAGCCAGACAAAGACTCAAAGAAAATTATAGGCCAACATCTCTGATGAACATAGATTACAAAAAAAAAAAAAAAGTCAGTGAAATACTTGCAAATGAATTCAGTCATGAGAAGGCTTTCCACCATGATCTGCATTTTTCCCAGAGATGCAAATTGTGACCATACATAAATCAACACACATAGTCTACCACATGAGTAGAATAAAAGTCATCTCATGAGAGGCAGAAAAGGCCTTTGAAAAAAAATCCAGCATTCCTTTATGATAAAAGTCCTGGAGAGACTAGGAACACAGGGAATATATATCAATGTAACTGTTAAATTAATTAAACGTTTTCATCCAAGTATATATTGAATGTTGAGCAATTTATCCTCATACTCCTCTCTTGCCCCTCCTCTCCTAATTTTCCACCTTGTTTCTCTAGAGTTTTTATATAGACACATACAAGGTCTTCTATAGCTATATACAATGAATAGATGAGACAAAATCAATGAGGTGAAAATATGCAATATTTGTCAACACGATTGTTTCCAGTTATACCTATTTTCCTGAAATTGCACAATTCCGTTCTTTATTTTGGCCAAGTAATACGTTTTCTTTTGCTGTTCCTCAGCTTTGGACACCTTTATGAGTTCTGTTACTAGGCTACCGTGAAAGAGTACTGCAGTAAACACTGACATACAAGTACCTCTGAGATCTGGTGGCTGGGTCACATGACAGATCCACTTGTAGGCTTTTGAAAAGTCTATAGATCTATATAATGGCTGGACTAGTTCACATTTCCAACAGCCAGCACACAAAGGTTCCAAAATGGGACATTTTTCTGAGTGCCAGCTTCCCAAATAATAACACCAAGAACTTTTATTAATTATTAAAGATTGGCCTTAGCTTTGGCTTGTTCCACAAATAGCTCTTAAATTAACCCCTTTATCTGTATGATGGGGAAAGGATAGGAGCTCCACAAGGACCAAACATATCTGGGCACAGAGTCTTTTCAGAGACTGACATTCAACCAAGGACCATGTATGGATATAACCTAAAACCTCTGCTCAGATGTAGCCTGTGGTAGCTCAGTAACCAATTGGTTTCCCATAGTGAGGGGAACAAGGACCATTTCTAACAGGAACTCAATGACTGGCTCTTTGACCTCCCCACCCCCCAAGGGAGGAGCAGTCCTGTTAGGCCACAGAGGAGGGCTTTGCAGCCAGTCCTGAAAATACCTGATAAAACAGGATCAGATGAATGGGGAGGAGGTCCCCTCTATCAGTGGACTTGGAAAGGGGCAAGGTGGAGATGAGGGAGGGAGGGTGGGATTGGGAGGGAATGAGGGAGCGGGACACAGCTGGGATACAGAGTTAATAAAATGTAACTGATAAAAAAATAAAATTAAATTTAAAAAAAAGAAAAAAAATTATTAAAGATTGGCCTTAGCTTTGGCTTGTTCCACAAACAGCTCTTAAATTAACCTCTTTATCTGTCTCTGACATGAACTCAGTGGCAGGCTCTCTGATCACCTGCCCCCTGGCAGATGCAGCTTTGGAAGGCCACAGAGAAGAATGATGTGGCCCGTCCTGATGAGACCTGATAGGCTAGGGTCAGATAGAAAGGGAGGAGGACCTCCCCTATCAGTGGACTAGGGGAGGGGCATGGGGGAATAAAGGGAGGAAGGGCGGAACTGGGAGGAGAAAAAGGAGGGGGCCACAGCTGGGATACAAAGTGAATAAATTGTAATAAATGATAATGATAATAATAAAAGAAAGAAAAAAATTAACCCTTTTATATTAACTGTGTTTTACCACATGATTTTTTACCTGTCAATTGCTTTTGTCCTGGCACTATTTCTGCCTCCATTTCTGGCTGTTGACTCTTCCTGTGCCTCTCATTCCTTTCCAGAGTTCCTATCTCCGCTAGAAGTCCTGCCTTCCTCCCTTGCATCACTATGGGTGTGTTCAGCTTTTTATTGAACTAATTAGAAGGTGTTGGAAGTATATGTTTACAAGACATTGGGGGGGGGGGGGGGGGGTGGCATTGTTGCTTAGCAGTTCCAAAGTCCACTCTGTACTCAGCTCTCTGCTGGCACAGAAATCAGCAATTGAATATTACAAAGACAGTCTTTACAGGTGAACAAAGATCACCCAACAAGGTTTCCTTTTGTACACCCCCTTACTGCCATTTGTTTATTTTCTTTTTTTCTCATTTACTCATTTTATTCACTTTACATCCTTGCAGCCCTTTTCTTCCTCCCCTTCCCCTTTTCCTCAACAAATACAGAGCTTCCTTTCCCATTCACCCCAGCTCATCAAGTTGATTAATGATTACCATTAAAACTGGGGTAAGGTGTAACCTCAATTTAGTTTTATTGGAGGGAGCACATGGGAGGTACAGGTGCATGCTCATGCGTGTGGATCTTTGTGGGGAGGTAAGAGAGTGCTTTACATGTTATTTCTCAGATATCATCTATATACATTATTGTATATCTCATACTCTCTGCTACTTGGCCCTCACCAAGTGGTTGGGCCTGATGGCCAGCAAGCCTCAAAGACACACAGTGCTGGGGCTCTACAAGAACATGACACTGTGGTTTCACTGTGTTGTGGGCACTGGACTCAGATCCTCATGTTAGCAAGAAAAAGAGTTTACTATCTAAACTTCTTCCTAAGTCCTCAATGAGTTTTTATTAATTTTTAATGATTTCTCTCACATTTTTGAGATTATAGTATAATTACCTCCATCTCCTTCCCTTTCTTTCATATAGACTCTCCCATATACCTCTCCTGGATCTCATGGCCTCTTTTCATTCATTGTTTTTACATATGTAAGTATGTATACATATATACATATTTCTT